TATGAGTTGTATCTTACCAAATACCTTCCTAAAATCAGTATCTCCTTTCTATTTCTATTTGTATAGTTCGGTTGTTTTTTAATCTCCTTTTTATTGGGGGGGGTTCTCTATGCCAGACATGGTAGGAAGAAATACATATGAAGCTTAGTAGCTCTTCTGTGATGTAAGAAATACAATAGAAATGTTACAGTAAAGAAACATGAGGTTGAGATAGACTAAATAACTTGCCTACAATGTGATATGAATTTGAGAAGCAAGGGTGAAAATAAAGGGGGAGAGAAAGAAAAGAAAAACCCTCTGCTATGCTGGTGGCACAAGCCTTTAATCTCAGCACTTGGGAGATAGAGACCGGCAGATCTCTATGAGTTTGAAGACAGCCTGCTCTACAAAGAGAGTTCTAGGACAGCCAGGGTTGTTAATACAGAGAAATCCTGTCTTGAAAAACCAAAAAGGAGAAGGAAGAGTAGAGAGGAGGAAAAGGGGTAGAGTGCAGGGAAGGAGGCAGGGTGGAAGAAAAAAACTCCCCAGAATCAGAAGATAAAGAAATAATGTCCTAGGTTTGAAAAACAGGCAGCCCAGAGGCTGGGGAAGTAGTCCTTACACAGTTTTGGGTCATTCCTTTCCTATCGCCCGTTCAATTGTTGAGTAGCGGTTTGCACAGAGATTGAAACTTTATCCAGCAGAGAAGCTTCTTAAGCCAAAAGATAAACAACTCAAAGCAGGCTCAGGAAATAGCTGAAACTGAGAGATTCACTGGGCCTCTTCCTCTCTAGGTCAAACAATGAAGTCCTCTCAGAATTGCTCTCAGACAAGCCAAGCTGCAAAGGAGACCTCAGACATGTCCAGATGCCTGTAAGAAGCAGAAACCAGCCCAGTGGCCTAAAAGAGGTCTAGCCTAACTGAACCATCTGGAAAAGACACTCTCCAACTTGTTGGGCTGCCTGTAAGCTGTGCAGTGTGCTCTAGGTTCACCCATGCTGAGGTGGGCTTTGGTGAATGCAGCTGTCTTGTCAGTCATTTCTGCTTCTGCAAGTAACCTTTTCACTCACACTCCTGTAAGTAACCCCAATGAAACTTAGTGTTCACCAAGTTGGACTCTAGTGGCATCCATACTTTGGTTTGTCAGGAGCTTCCTATCTGGGGTGAGTAGATATATGTGTAATGTCTTCCCAAGAAAACTTCTGCCCCACAACACCAATCCAGACAGAAGTCAAAACTCAAAGAAGAAAATGGTCAAATTCATAATAATCCCTCTTGCTCCCTAGCTAAGATGAAGAAAGCAAATTACCATTCACTGTCTACCTCACCTCAGCTCTCCTGTAACATCCACAATACAAAAGATTGATCATCTTCCACCTTTAATCTGGCCATATGCAAATACAAAATAAAAGGCTGTCATTTGTTTGATTTACTGCTATTAGTAAGCAAGAAGCCATAATAGGTCACCTTTTTCTCCTTTCACCAAGTTCAGGAACACAGGATCAGCTTTGCTGTTATGCCCACAGTGATTAGTTTTAAAATATTTCAAGTTTCAAAACCTTCCGTTATTTCTAAGGACTCCCAGATCTTCCACAGTAAGAGAGCAACTGCCTGACTAGGTACTGCAAAGCATTGGCAGACCCCACCCAGGCCCTGCTCTTAGCCACTTGATACCTATTGTCATCTGTTGTCATATGTTGGTGCCTTTGGCAGTGACAATCATACTTAGGACATCCGAGACCTCACCAGGACTTTAGTAAAGAGCCTCCAAGGGTTGCATGGCATAGCACTGTCTAGGTGACACCTCCCATTCCCTATGGTGGCCGGCAAAACAGGACTAGTGATTATGGTGTGTAGCACTTCACCATCCTAAATAGCCCCCGAGCATCATTTTCAGTTCTTACTATGTACTGTGCTGTCTAATAGGAGAGTAAAAATCTATGGGAGTTGCCACACTCCCTCTTTACAGCAGGATTCCACTGTTTTCACAGTAAAGCAGGTGTACAAGGGGCCTCTAAGTTGTTTGAAGCATTTATTTTTCTTCTAGACAAGTATATGGGATGTTCCCTTGGGGTAGAAACAGGGAATGTTTTCCCCAAGACAGTGCAAAAGTTAAAAGAGAGAAACTTCCATAGCTCTGTGACACAGAATCAAACCAGAGACCTGTTCTAACCAAGGGGAGGGAGGGAGGGAGGGAGGGAGGGTAGAATTAGTCACTCATTGCCTATCAATAGTTCAAAAGAAATGCAAAAATATGAGTTATTCATTCCAATCTGAGTATTGATGATGCTTCAGTCAATAACCTCCTCTGGGGTTATTTATCTCATAAAACTGCCACTATAGTGTTTCCAATTCCTAGAAGACAAATTTCTCAAAATGTAAGCACAGGGATAAAATTAAATTCACAAGTCAGGGAACATTTACATGGGCAGAGCAGGCCCAGTGACAGTTCATTCACAAACCTCCCCCCTGGTCACATACAGTGTTGTTTCTAAGACCAGCAGCAGCAACCACTATTGTCTACTGCCCAGTGAGAAAAGAGCACTCTCCAGCCCTTCCCAAGAGCTGATGAGACACAGAATAGACCCAGCAATCCCAGGACTACCAGGCCTTCTAGATGTTTCTGATAGGAAAAGTGGGGAGAGTGTTGATCACAGAGGCTTCCCACAAACTATTTCACCAAATGTATAGGAAATGTAGCCCTACCAGTTTTGTACAAAAGACAACAAAGGTTCAATGTGTTTATTGGTCTAAAGTCACCGTGGTGACAGATGAGAGAACCCAGACCCTGGATTCAAGATTTTGTTTGCTTTGTCTTGAAAGCACAGCTTCATATAAATGCATTAGAAACAGCCAACCAGATCAAACTGGCTTGGTTCTGAAAGAGGGAATACAACCTAGAAAGACTAGAGAGGGGGATGCATGGGGGTCTACAAACGATACTAAGGAAGTCTGGATGCCTCCTACTGCACAGATCACAGGGAGGAAGAGAGCCAGAGTGCCTGCAGGGCACTCCTCTGAAGTGCAGTTAACTCATCCTCTGGGTGCAGTCTGTTTTCTCTTTAAGAAGACTCTAACTCTCCGAAGTGCCTGCCTCTTTTGCACAAGTCTTCCCAGAAACTCACCGCTGCAGTGATGGTAGGATGCTTCCCACCTCTCCCTTCTCCTAGCACTGACTAGTGGCTCCTCCATTACTCCCAGGGCATCAATTTCTTCAATTTGTCTCATCGGTGTTTTGATGGTTTTGGTCTCTTCTATTTAGTGTACCCAGTCTGTAACAGGAGAGCTTTTACCTACTTTCTCCATCATCCCAAAATGTAGTTAGACAGGCACTGCTAAATGAGCATGAAATGTTTGTTACATAAATACATGCAACACAAATCACCCACCTGGTTATCTATATCCTTCATTCTCAATATCTTATTTTCTCACAAACCAGAATTCATTGAGAGTTATTTAATATATAGCTTAAAAACCATGAGTGTAAAGAATCCATAGGCTATGACTGAAATTGCTCCCCCTTTTTTACTCTAAGGCTGCTCTCCTCTCTCTCTCTTCTCTCTTTACCATCCCCTCTTTCTCTGACCCACCATTTTATTAGCTCTTAAGTGTGTCTAGATGGGCAAGAACATTTTACTTGTTGGACTGTACTCTCCTTTTGTTTTCTTGACGTAAAACAATCCATCTGTGTCTGGATTTATTGTTTAGATTCTATTCCATTTATAACAGCATCCGGCCACATTGGACTGGGACAGAATGGAGAAACATGCAAAGCCCTTCGTAAAGAGAGCATGTTTACATCCTTGCCTACATCATTTAATAATTGTCATGAGATTTCAAGGAGGCTGTAGCTCGTCCTGCAAGTTCAGTTTGCGATTCCAGTTGGACAAAATATAGGCACAGATGCACTCAGCTAAGTAATTGGATTCACTACCTGGAATATTTAAATTGTTTTCAGACACTGAAAATTGGCTTAAGAAGATTAAAGTAAAATACCCAGGAGGATAACAGGCTGTAATTTACGAGGTGGGAAATCTTCTCAGTGAGAAGACCAGTTCATTCTCCTATAGCTGCCCCTGATGAGAGATGTATTCATAATCAGGACTTGAATTTCTTTAGATCTTAACATCTCAGGTTTATTCAGGTGAGTTGTTCTTACCAGACCCTTTGGATGACACCCAGGAAGCTAAATTGATAGTATAATGTGCATCCCATTCTCGTTTTCATTAAGAATTCTCTAAGTGTTCTGACGGCAAGTAGGGTAGAGGAAAGGGAGAGGTCATGGGATCTAGAGTGTAGGAGAAGCAGTGGAGTCTCAAGGCTGGGCAGACTCTGTCCTACACAGCTAAGGGTGCAAGTAGATGAGAGGGTGAAGTTGGGCGTCTATATCCAAGTGAAAACTTAAGCAAGCTCCTTTCTCAAAACCTAGCCCTCTCTGCAGGCCCATTCTGTGCTCCTCAGCCCTAACAGCCCCTCATTTGCTCACTAATACGCCTCTAGTGTGCCCTCTCCAGCCCTTCCCGAGGCCCCTCACTCCGGAGCCAGCCGCTAAAGTTTGGCATCAACGACCACCTGTCGGCTATACCGCTGTGTCTTCTGCCGCGTGGCCATCATAAAAATGCTCAGGGGTTATCGGTAATTACAAGATTTTGGACCTGGGTGGTAGTTAGGTATTCCTTCTGGAAAGAGGGCAAAAGAGGTAACAGAGCTCTTTAGCCAGCCAAGAGGGGTGCGCCTAGTTCTTTCCAGCGCTATCCAGCTGGTCCTAACTTCATGCTCTTTCCAAACTCGCGG